GTTCTCTCAACTGTCTTTGGGAGGTTGAGGAGAGGGAGGAATGAAAATTCACCATGCCCTTACTATTATTTTTTCATTACTTCTTTTTTCATTTGAATACCCCAGTGCTGGATCCAGATGTTGAGATAAGGGGGAGGGGGGCGGTCATCAAGACCCTTAGATAAGGAGGGAGGGAGGGCCGGTCTCCAAAAAACATTTTTTCCGCACTTCACGCCTCAGTTTGGTCTAAAAATAAGGGGGGCCCTCCCCTGGATCTCCCACTGTACCCAATGAGAGCCTCTGAGGAGGAGAGAGAGAGAGAGCCTCTTATGTATCCTTTAGGTGCACAGTAACTATGCGCATTATACGAATTTACGCGAACGGGGAGTTTGTTTGCACTTCCGGATTTAAAGGCTTCATTGAAATGTTAATCCTCCGCTATCTGACACGAAGGTCAAGGCTGTTTCTTGTGACCAAAAGTAAAACGTGACTTTTTCTTTTCTTCGGTATTCGGGACTGCACGACTCGGAAGTCTGTATAATAAAAATCTGTTGTATAGCACACTTTAAGGCCTTTTTTGTACTTATACTGTGAAGTAAAATTAATCCAAGCAAATGAAAGAACTTTTCTGGTCTTTTCTAAATTTTGGGGATACTATTTTTTGGATTATTGGCGGATTTAAGCGCTGTATATTTTGGATACTTACCAGCCGTTTTGTTTCCTTTTGAAGACCTTATTTCACCTCTCATTTTGCTTAATTCTTTCAGTACTCGATGAAGAAGTGCTTCTACTTTCTTGTCAGTCAGTCCTGTGTTGAAATGACTGTTGTAGTAGGTGTTATATACGGGACACTTAGAATCAGTGTTAGGGCGCCGGACTGCCGAGTTGTTTGGTATCACGCTTGACTTAGTGACGCTTAACAAATCCATCAGAAACAGCAGACTCCAAAGTAAACGGCAGTAAGCCATGTTCAACTTGTTCTTTTTCCCTAGATGCTCAGATTTGAGCGTACGAGGAATTTATCGCTTTATTAGTAAATACTGCACAGTATATACTCCCCGTTTTGACAGCGGTTTTCGGAAAGGTGCATGCTGGGTATGCTGCATGTGAAATTTGCTCGAACCTCGTCCCCTGGGTCTTCTCGTTTCCCAATATGGCGGCGCTGTCACTATGATGTGGGCATCCCTGCGTTTTGGGCATACCCATATCCAAAACCCTAGTGATATGGGCATCCCCTAAAACCCTGACCCTCACCCTAAGCCAAATTGCTAAGGTAATATGAAAAAGGGATGCCCGTAGGAATGGCGATGGCCAAAACGCGGGGATGCCTATGTCAATGTAACAGCCAAAGGAAAGCTTAGACCCGGGGACACCAACCTCGTCTCCCGGGTCTTGGAAAACGAGAAGACCCTAGGGACGAGGTTGAATTTGATCGGCTTTTACGACTTTTACCTTCAAATCAAGCTCTTCTCTATCTTGTTTAAGTTCAAAATATTGTGACGTTAGGTTTTTAGGGTGTTCTTCGTCTTTAACTCTTATAAAATGCGCGACGTTGCGCTGGACAAATGGAAGGATAATCGACGGGGCGATTCGGAATAACTGGAGGACGGAATGGGACTAAAGCTCGGTAGAAAACTTCGCTGGACTACGCGGCCAACGTCACAAACAATGCCAGAGGTACAGGTTCTTTAGTAACTCGTTCGTAGAGCAAAGCAGAAATGACTTCAACAGGATTGGAACTCTTCAAGTATGTTTAATCTTCTCACGTAGTTAACTCGAAGACAACTCAAATAATTCAGCATGGCTCTGTCTTAACGGGAGGTAATTCAGTTTTGTTGGTTCGAGGTAATTCAAATTGTACAGTGTACAAGCTTGCTTATATGTGGTCTGGATATTCTAATACTGTTCAAATGTTATGTTCCGCAAGTCTTTGATGTAAAATAACATCCACAGCAGAATATACAACTAATGTCCTCCTAGTTAAAAACGAGCTCGTACAAAGGATGATAAAAGCAGCTGAGAACACTTCAATTTCTCTAGATTATTGTGCTGAATATTACTTAGTAATATCCTGATTGTAGTTTGTGTTTACACTAAGCTCGTTGGGGACGAAAAACTTCGAGACACTAATGTTTAAGCAGCTTCGTTTTCCCATCTAAGGTTAAATACGATCGGAACTTCTTGGGGCTTATCTTGGTAAAACAAATTGTAGCACGGTTACATAAACATTTATCTGTACAGAGTTTTCTGCAATCTTAAACTTCAATATTTTAAAATCATATTTGAAATGATGCTGATAAAACAGATCCGTTCTAAAGATAACATTGAAATATCGGCTGTGACAATATAGTGTTCAGAATGTTTAATATCTATATTTTAGGCTGAAATTTAGAATAAAAGTTTGCAATTGAAAAGGTGAATGAAAAAAAACTGCATTCTTGATCGCAGGTCCAAGGTATAATAGGACATCTTCAAAATGGTGTCATCATATAATTGAATGTTAAACAACCTAAAAGCTGAATTGCAGAATTCTTTTCATTCTTTCATGGTAATAACAGTGCAACCACTGTAACTACTCGAATAGGGGTTCTTGGAAAAAGATTATCCAATCACAACGCTTTTTGAACACAAGGTTTTTTGAAGACGGACCAATAATATTCATAAATTTGAGGGCTTTTTCTTGAGAGGTCTGGTAAGTTCAGACGGTTTTAAAGTTTTCAACGTTTTCATTGTACTCTTTGTTTTTTATTGGTCGGCTTACAAAAATTGCAAAAATCCACCACCGGAATCTGTTACGCTCGTCCATCCGAATCCCGTGGAAGAACATTATAGGAAATTAACGATCCATGATATTAAGGTATTGGAAATTAACGCGAATTTAATGGCAAGCGACTTTCGAATAAAGAAAATTAACGCGAAAGAGGAGGTAGAATTTCATAATAAAGGAAATTAACGCGATTAAGACACAGTTGGTTGTGACAACTGGAAATCTATCTTGGCCGAAATCAAAGGAGAAGATATTGACATCACTTCTGAGTTCTGACTGCGACAACGATAAAGATGAACTCGAAATATTGTAAAGCTTCTCCTTAGCTTTTGTGAAAGATGAAAAATAAAGGGTAAATGGAAAGAAAGAAAGCTTGTAGTTAATGTTTTTTAGGTGTCAAGAATGTCTGGACAGGTTCCAAAATTGGGGTTAAAATACTGGAAATTAAGAGCGCGGAAATTAACGCCGCACTTAATTAACGTCGCGGAAATTAACGCTCAACAAAATTAACGCGACTTAGATTAACGCGAATTTTAACGATTCGTAATTTCCTATAATAAGGTAATCTTTATATTAATCAATCAGGAAAGAACAGCCTTTTTAGTGTTCTTACCGATTAGACGACCGAAAAAGAGCTAATGGGATTGCATCAGTCCGTGGTAAGTTCAAACACCAGAATTCGAGTTATCGAGGTAAACTCACTTGATTGACGGAAAACGAAGTCAAGTTTGAGTTAGCGGGGAATTCGAGTTATCAGATTAAAGGCAGACTATCAATTTTGATTTACACTAATACTCTCAGCAAGCTCTCTTAAGCTTTTTGGGGAGATCCCCTAAATGTACGTAACTATTTACAGATAGCAGATGGGTTTTTATCACATTTAGTAAAAAATAGGTAACTGAGAAAATCCAAAGTAAAAATCATGGGAAATAGGACTTAACTGTTACGGTTATTGGGGGAGTTCGAGTTACCGGGATTCTACAGCCTGAGCTCAACCGCGGTTAACGGTTCAATAATCTGGCAATTTTGCTGCACTTTTGACGTCATATTCACATATCGCAAAAAATTCTTCCACATTTGGTCGATTGACAATAGCTGATTATGATGAATTATGCGTGGGATTTCAGCCAACCAGAAATGGAAAAACCCTTTGAATGAATAATCATAGTGGTTATTAGAGAAAGACCATTAGAGAAGTTATGGGACGGGCAAAGTACAAAATATGTTCATGCAAGGGAAAATTAACTGAAGAATTATTCGTCGATCTTATCGATTATATCACAGCAGAAAATAGAACGATTAAGGGTTAGCTCTAGGTATCAACTGGTTTGACCTTCATCTCAGCTCGTCTAGCGGAGTATTTGTAGCCTTTCCAATGATACCAGTTGACGCCTTCCCCTAATTCAGAGTGCGGCCCGTGGAGATAGAGACCATTCAAGCCTGAATAGAGGCAGGTTTTAAACCACCAGGCTCCCTTGTACGTTGTGGCACAGTTGCTGTACTCAAGGTCGTTGTCACGATCTTTGGTGGTAAAAGCCATGCCACGATGATATGAAAGCGAGTCACCGGCAGTACCTAAAGAAAAATATTCCATTGATGACGTATTACAAGCAGAGACACTTCGATTATTTCATTTCTAGCAGGAACTGTTCGTAAACAGCTACCCCACAACTTCACCACAAACAGCAGCATATAAAACCAGCTCTGGTTAAATGCATTTTTTGATAAACGTCACGTTTCGTATGCTGCTTACTACGCATCAGTTCCTGAAAGTAACGTTTACAAGGGGTTATTTGCCAAGGGCAATTAACAATAAGAACGACACAAAACCAGAATATTATACGGAATGCTTATTTCAAACTATGGTAGTTCGAGAAAGTATTTTCATGATTAACATATCGACAAGAATTGCCCATGGTCTGTAGGTCTGTACTCCTATATCCAACCACAGAAAGGACACCAGAATGTTCAAAACTCCAAAGGAAATAAAGTTTTGAACTTTTTGTCGTCGACGTCATTTCTATGGGCCACAAGAAAATAGAACATGGAAAACTGCTGCCGATTTGTTTTTGACAAAAACATTTATAGCTTTTTATGTCTATTTCAATTGAAGTTTCTCCGCGGAAAATCACGTGCGCGAATTGAAACGAAAATGATGATATGTCTTGTTAAAACCACATTCCTCTGCGGTCGGGCTCCAGGGCTACCCAACAGTGGGGATCAGCATTACGATCAGCTTAAGCAAAAACGTTTTTAAGGAGCACACGTCAACCCAAAGTGGATTTTTTTTAGTTCTTGTTCAGTGGTTTTGCCCTAATGTTCCGGCAAGTCGTCCCTGTAAGAATACAAAGTTGGTAACGTCAAGGCAATTCGTCAAGGCCTCAATTCCGGTTGACATGTGACGCTGAAAAGCGCCTTTGCTTAAACTCCTTCATGTTTTCTACGGGGAGGCTCCGTCCCGAGGTCCAACCCATTACCCTTTTAAATAATTCTTATGACAGAAAAGGAACCTGGTTCGAATAGTTTACCTTCAATTGAAAAATGGAACTCCTTTAACAAACCTACTTAATAAGAATAATTGCTGCATTTACTTCTCTCACTTGCAAAGACAAAAAATCGTATTCAGAATAAGACGATTTTCTCCTTTCCTTGGACCACGTGACCCGAAACGCTTTGGCCGCGAGGCATAATGAGGCCTGGGGCTAGGCCAGTTTTTTCCTATCATGTGGCAAGTAAATCCACTACCATGAATTACTTGCCTGTTCGTGTCCTTAAGAGGTGTTGATTGAATTAACGGTAGTTGTGATTTTTTTCTAATTTATGTTTTCATTACGGTGCTATGCTTTTTGTAAGAGCCACCTTAAAAGAACTTACTCGAATATGTTCCAAGACTTAGCTTGTATTTGCTTCTCTCACTTGCAATACCAAAAAAGTCGTATTCAGCGTAAGCTGTTTTTCCAGTAGTCTCTTCAAGATCCACATGAAGCCTGCTACGTTGTTTTGTCAGGCGATTAATCTTGTCGAGTCCGAGCCAAAACTCCCCATTCAGATTTCCAAAGCCACGTTTGTAGTCTTACCAGCCGCGATAGAAATCAACCGAGCCGTCCAGTCTCTTCTGAAACACTGTCCACCCCCCACCGGCTGTCGTTTGGTCACAATAGACGTCGAAGCCATCTGTGTTGTCGGGGTTGATTGTATAGACACCGCTGTTCCGTTTACCAGCTTTGTAGAGTTCAGCACAGTTCTTGTAAACTGCCAAGGATGAAGTCGTTAATTGAAATCGTTTTCAGAGACAAGCTATCAAAGCTTAAGGTTCTTTTAGCAATGAGAACTTATAAAGGCTTTTGCGTCGTTCCCCTCGTATTCTTTAGGTGCGGAATAAGGACTGAGCTTTGCGAGCGGAAGGTGTTTTGTCACCCCCGATCCATTGCAAAGTTAAGATCTGCCGCTAATATGACTGACACGAAGGACAAGATTGTATCTTATTACTTAGTTTTGAGACAAGACGTGACTTCTTCAGTTTTGCTCGGCATTCTATACAGCACAGTTTTTCATCTTAAAGTCACTTTTTTGGAGGGATATACTTAAACTCTAAGGTATTATGAGGGTCTATTGTAACACGCAAATGAAACTGGGAGACTTAAAGATGAGCTGTTTTTCTTGTTTTAAGTTTAGCAGATATAAATAAGCACCAAGTAATTCAAATAATATATTTTGTACTTACCGATCGTTTTGTTTCCTTTAATGAACTTGTTGTCCTCTCTTACCTCTCTTATATCATCTGGAACTCGATGAAGCAGTGCTTCCATTTTCTTGTTAGGCCCTGTATTTAAAGTGCTGTTGTAGTAGTTGTAATTATAATTCGTGTTATAGGAATGACATTTAGAATCCGCATCGGGCCTGCGCACTGCCGAGTTGCTTGGTGTTCCATTCGACCTGGTAACGCTCAGTAAAGCTATCACAGACAGAAGAGTCGAAGGTAAACGGTGGTATACCATGATCAGCTTGTTCTTTCTCGCTTGAAAATCAGTTCTTAAATGATGATGAATTTATCGCTTTATCACTAATTACTGAACAGTGCACTCTCAGTTTCAGCAGTTTCCGGCAAGGTGCACGCTTTGAGAAAGAATCAGATCACAAAACATGTATAGTGTTCCTAATTGATACCTATTTTTAGGTTGGAATTCAGAAATAATGTGCGCAAAAGATGAAAGGAAAACCCAGAAGTTAAGAGCCTTGATCGTTATATCGAAGTTATAGGAAATTTTCAAGATGTCGTCATTTTTTAACAACTACTGACAGAGAATTCACTTCCTTCTTTCTTTCTCATTTAAAGATGTTTTCAACAATGATCCTAATGAACTGGAACTTGCCCGAGAAAGAAAATCCGGAGCATCCTGGTTCTGGTCCCTGTGGTGAGTTGTCTGGCGACTTATTTTGGAATAAAATGGGTGAAGGCTTGACAAGTTTTGTTATGACATGGAATTTTCTCAAGTTTTCAGTCACTATTTTAATAGAGACTGAAAATGTAAAAATGTATTCATTTACAGTACATATCATCAACAAACTGTCATCAACAAACCGTAAGGTGCTACAAACTTAGCCACTCTGGTAAGCAAACTGTGCAGTGGTCAGTCCTTGAACAAAAAAATAGTTTTTTACACGATGCATGCAATCCTCTCCTTGGTTCAGTACATTGTTTTCTCGCCAGCGTGACTATCAGTTGTACCCTGTGACCCTAGCTGTGTTGCAAAAGGCCTACTTCGTTTGTGACTGAACAGATCAATGGCTCCAGCTGAATCTTCTTAAGGGCTGGAGAGGCAGAGAGGACCGTTATCATCAAATCTACCCTATAAGCTACTGATGGAAACTACTAGACTGGAAGAAAGACCTGCAAAATACTGATAAAGGTTATAGATTAAGTTAGATTAAGTAGTGGAGTTGACAATGAATGTTTTAACTTCTTAAACGCTTTTTATTGTTTAAGCACACTTGGCAAATATCACATTTCTCGTCCTGTTTGTTATTTTATTACCCAACGGCTCTTAATGACTGAAACACTAAGATAGGGGGATTAGTAAGAACAAGTTCTCTTTTGCTTCTTTTCTTCGTTCAACTTGTCTGTCCATTTTGGGGACAGAATGTAGATTCGGTTATTGGGACATTATTGACCGCGCTTTATTTCCCATTGAGTTTTGTTTCCTTGATACGGCATCGTTAATAATAAATAAATGCATACCATACCATTGCAGTATAATGTTACGAGAAATAAGTTGGGAAAGAAAAGGACTTTTAGTGTGGTGTGGCTAAGCACATATTCTGACTGAGTTCATGCCTGCATGTTCCAGTTAGTGTGCAGATTGATCGTGACAGAGAGCCTGGCAAAGTCTAAAGCTGCTGAGTGGAAACGAAAATGATTGTACACATCAAGTCACCCGTTTTAATCTTAGCACTTTTGCGTTATGTGCGAAACAACGTACTAGGTTGGTTGTATGGTAAATTTAGAATGTGCTACATGATGTTAGGTAGGAATAGGCATTTTCCACGTTTATTCGCACCCCACTTCTCTCCATCCCACCAATAAGATCAAGAAATAGCTAGAAGTCAAATCCTAAGTGAGAGGTGGCATGATCCATTTCCAGAGTTGCGATCAGTGGGGTGGGCATAATGATGAAGAAAAGGAGGTTGCCCCCCCCCCCCCGCCACCTTTCCTTGTTCAACCTGACTCGGAACCCGGGCGATTAACTAACATTTGACTAGAGTAACAGGAGAACACTGCTCTCAGTCTGTTTAAAGCCAGAATTTTTTATTGTCTATACTAATTTTTCATCTATATATTACGTAACTTAATCAAGACCGCGAGTTGTCTGCATAGTCGTTGGATGCCAGAATACGGTCTGAAATTGACATCTACAAATCATCTTATTTGGTATACTGCAGCGCTGAGAACATCGACAAGCTGTCAACTGAAGGTTTTTTTGCCTCCACAAAGGAAAGGTCTAATACAGTACATACAGTAGTGCATAATCAGAAGTGTCCGCATTAACGAGGTTGACTTTCTCATTATGGAAATCTGTTGATTGGGGAAGAAACAATTGTCCGTTGTCCGCATTAACGGGTATCCTCATTAAGCGGGTTGAATTTAGAGAAAATAAGTAAATGGGATTTTCCCAGGAATAAAGAAAACTGTCCCCTATAACGAAGTGTCAGTATTAAGCGGATATGCGTAAAGCGGGGTTCGACTGTATTATCAGTAGCGTACTGAGAGGGGAGGGATGAAAAACGAGCTCTCCTAAAAACGTCTGCCTGGGAGGCTATATGATCAGGGGCACCCAATGTCAATTTTCGGAAAAAAGCTGTTCGGAAGACGATTTGTGATCTAGAATTTTCGGAACATGTTGTAAAATTTCTTGCTTGCCTGTCTCTCCTAGGAAACTCGAACATCTAAAAAATGGTATAACTGCCCATTTTTAACAGATTTTTACCCTATAAAGGTCACCTAGAATTTTCGGGAGCCTTTTTTCTGGCTGAAATGTTCGAAAAGGTAAGTTTTGATCCCTATAATTTTCAGATCACTAGACTTTCAGCTAGGAAAGCCGAACAGATGAAAAATTTTTAGGGGATAAAAAATATGCCTATATCTACTATTTAAATACCGAAATACGTTTAACAGTGCTATATTTAAGTGGTTTTGAACTATATTTTCCTTGGGTGCCCCTGTATTATTGCTTTCAGTATTAACGTAAGCTTCTTTTAGATTATATTAAGGCCGCGGAGCTTATTCGGGGGCGGCGCTTATAAACGTTTTTCTCCCAAATGCGGCCCTTTTTGAGGGAGGCGCTTAATCGGGGGCGGTGCTTATTTGAGTAAGTACGATAATTAGCAACATTATCATAATGAAGCAGACAGCCATATGACACAGCGCCGCCTTTAATGACGTGTTACTTACGTCAGTGATGACGCTAAAACATTTAGGGCCTAATATTATCACTCTTAGAGTTTATTACATTTAGCGTAAATAGTTATTACATTTAGGATTTTATTACGCTTATAAAGGTCAAAATGTTATTACATTTAGGCCTTGTACAACAATCGCTTAGGATGTTTCATATAATTAAAACCTTAATTTTACAATTTAAAATGAAATAACTTCGAAATCCTACGACAATTTCCCCTAACTTCATCAAAAAAGGCCCAGAGCCTTCTATAGTTTTTCATTTGCAAGTTTGGAGACAATCTTGGTCATATAACGTG